TATACCCACTAGGATAGACGGCATGCAACATTCTGCTACTATCATATGTACATATACAACACAAGAGATGCTTACGCCTTACCCCCTCGTAGAGGATGGAGCTCTTCGTCTCTCACCCCAACAGTCTGAGGATTGCACAACTATCAAGGAAACCACTACGTCCAGCGGCGCGCCGGTGCTCAGATCCGTCCTCCGCTATTTGTAGCTCGCCCCAATTCCTCAGACGCTGTCTTCTGTAAAACACTGACTGTTGGCTTTTAGAGCAACCCCTTGGCCAGCCAACGTCGTCAGTGATGGCTTGACATGCATCACAACTCTTGCGGCCACGATCACACATGTCTTTCGTGCCATTCCATCCCCATAACCTGCGGACAAGAATTTTCAACCACTTGATCCTCGCATGATCAAACAGCACATATATGTACCTCACGAAACGCTCAAGATAAACATCACTCCCACCCCCAAAAAAAACCCCTATCAAGCATGGAACGCTTCAAGCCCAGCGGCCGATTTTTACGAACCTTCTCCCGAAACTTATCCAACGACCGATCATCTTCTAACATCGGATCATCCACCGAGCCCTGTTCGAACTTGACTCGTTCTGTTTTAGTGGGAGAATCTGTGAAGTCCTTCCGTTTCATGCTATCCGACTCTGTGTCCGAGGTGTTGAGCGATGTCAATCACATCAGCGATAGGCTGTATATTCGCAATCACAGCTGCCTTGCGCTCACGCCGTGAGGACAGTTGATTTCACATTCATACTACGATTGTACATATCACCGAGTGATTCCTCACTCGTGCTTTTCTTGGCTGCTCCCAACCAAGTATCCGCCACAGCTCCCAGCGACCCCCCACTCGGGCTGGTAGATGTCCCTCTCTAAACCATGCCTCCGCATGCTGCAATGATTTACTCAGCATCCCCTTGGCCGCCTTCCAAGGCTGAGTAGTAAACGTCAGCGCGCTCACTGCGCTGACTGGGGTAGTTTTAATGCCTTCTTCCTCTGCAGGCATACCCCGACGCACCGACTTCTCATTGGGATGCGCCACCGTCTCAATGACCTCACTCTGTGTCATACAGGAGACCACGTCTTCATCACGCAGTATTGCCGCAGCAGCCAACTTCTCCCAAGCCGTTCCCATCGACTCCAACTCCTCCCATAAGTCCTTTCGAAGGTTGTACTCCTTCTAGGAGCTCATGTGGCACACCAAAATTATAAATACTGGCGCATACATCGGCTAATACCCATTCTTAATGAAAATACTCATGCGAGGATAGATCACCATCGGATCTGCTGACACAACAGAACCATCTCCTTAAACAACATCATCTCAGGTGCGTACGAGCAACCCATCGTCACCGCAGCCTTGTCTCTCTTAATTTGAGCGACAACCCTTCCCAAATCCGACCACTTCGGATTAAAGTACCACCTATGACCTGTCCACGCCCTCAACGCAAACACACTACGAGCCAGCGTCGGCTGATAGTAAGGTTTTATCCGGTAGAATGCGCAAATACCTCAGCATCAAACAGGTCAAACCTGATACCTATCTTGTCGAACAGCGCCCTATTTACAGCATAGGAGTTCGTTTCAGACTTCACCACCACTGGATCCGTCTACCTGACCCTGTCTTCTGCCGGCAGCCGCATCGCCTGCAGGATGGTCTCGATATGAAGCCCCAGCCTGGACTGCACGTCCGCTACTGGATTCTACTCGCCAGGGATATGCTTCACCACAATTCAAAGTCACTCAGCACTTGAGAATACCTCGCCATGCGTCGACCCCTTAAGCCGAAGACTCATTGGACATCGGGTCCTGCATCAGCATTCGCAACAATGGCTCATGGTACGTGCATGCGGTTAAGGGGTGCCTGGACCTCTTCACTATCCTCCAGGACTTGTAGGGGCAGAATACTGTTGCAAGCCCCCTTACCTGCAAGGTGGTGTCCCAGCTGCGCCTGACTGAACTTAGACGACCAGAATTCAACCGGACACAATCTATTCTCACGCCGAGCCAAACCCCCCCCCCCCCCTCCCCCACTTACTCCTACAGAGTCACAGACATCACAATGCAACTCGAGCTTGTCGAAGCCCTCTCTTGGCCACCTCTTCCCGAATATGGCCATACGCGCCCTGCTGCGTCCGACCCCACACAAATGGCACATCCTTCTTGTTAAGATTCGAGATAGGGGCCATGACCCGGGAGCAGTTAGGTACATACTGACTATCCAGTACCCTATCTATGGTACCAGGAAGCCGGGAGGTCTTTTTCCATGGACGGCGGCATATACGAAGAATGAACTCCGTATAATTTTCCCTGATGTAGGATTCATTCTCATCGACCACACACCCCAACGCAAAAACTGATCAATCCAAAAAGCAAAGCAACACTTCTTCATGTTCAACTTTGCATTGTGTTTGATACACGCCGCGATCAACGCCTCAATGCTCTTCCAGTGCTCACGCACACTGTTGTGGCTCACACCCATGTCGCCAATATACGTTTTGAGACCGCCACACTCTGGCATACTTTATTCTCGCTTACATAATCCACGACGCCGGCCTAATGCTAAGCATAGTACCTACAAAGATCGCTTTCCTCACGGCGTCCAGAACACCAGCATGTATTGAGACCCCTCGCCTCGGCCACCTTCTCTTGACGAAAACCTTGGCTGATCATCATTGAGAGCCTCCGACGTTAGTAAGTCTATCACTGCTGCCTGTGGTACAACAGCCAAGGAGTCATCTTTCGTTAAGACATGTAAGTCATGTTTCCACATAAGAGCGAAATTATCCTTCTGTATGGACTGGAAACCCAGCAAGACGTCTGTATCTAAGGGGAAGGGAGTCCACAACCAGCAAATCCATAGGGCGTTCAATCGTATCACCACCCCATGTGTCCAGAATAGCCTGGGATTTCACCACCCCAGATGGGCGCACAAGCCCCAACTCCGCAACACCTTTGCACGGCAAGCCCAGGTAGTGAACAGTCTCCAATCCTTGCTGCTCTGCAAAGGACTGAGTAACTATACTCGGGGTCGCACCCGTGTAGACATATATATATATGTCCTCTGTTCATATGGCCCCTTTGAACCACATTGTCGGCTTGGCCTTCTCGTGTACTACTGTCCTAACAGCCCCAGCTAGTAATTTCTGTTTTGAGGACAACCATTTTTGAAGTGTCCGCGCTGTCCACATCCAAAGCAACGCACCAGCTTATGATACGCCGTTCTGACCTCCAGGATATCTTCATCCTCCAATAAGTCCAGCCTCGACTCTTCCGATGTTCCTCGCGCGCGCTTTTTCTCCCTTGCCTTTCTGACTCTCTTTGTTCTTAGGGGCAGCCTCGTCTCTCGGCTGCTTCTTTTTCTACTGGATTGTTGTATGTATATCTTGTTTATGTCCCGCCAACTGGGAACACATATTGTTAATCGCTGCAAACACTTCACCCATCTCAAAATGGCTACCTGCCGGAACCGCCGTTGCCGCTGCAACAGGTACCGGAAGCTTCCCCACCTCTATGTTCCCGTTTCTTCAAGGTCACCAGCACTTCGGTCAATCCTTTCAGGCAGTACATCTGACGTACGTTGTCGCCAAGAACTTTATTATTGACAAACAATCGAGCTAGGAACAAATCCATACCATCAAGTATTGCTGCCATCGTCGCCGTCACAGTTTTGCCGAACATCGGTTCTATCGACATCAGCCATAAAAAGCATGCAGTATTTGGGCTTTGGAAGCATTCCTACATTGCCATCGTCCATGTATAATCCAATTAGGCGCAAACAAGCAGGGGACTCCATGACATATACTGATTTAGAACCATATGCCAACATTACGCCTGTAACCCATTTCGATCCCATGCAAATTGACGGAAGATTTTATACCTTCACAGCAGCCACTTCCTTATGATAACGATACATTGCTAACGAAATATATGGGTATGGAAGTGGATAACAAGCGAGCTAGGAACAAATCCATACCATCATGGATTGCTGCCATCGTCGCCGTCACAATTTTGCCGAACATCGGTTCTATCGACATCAGCCATAAAATTCATGCAGTATGTGGGCTTTGGAAGCATTCCTACATTGCCATCGTTCATGTATAATCCAATTAGGCGAAACAAGCAGGGGACTCCATGACATACACTGATTTAGAACCAGATGCCAACATTATACCTGTAACCCATTTCGATCCCATACAAATTGACGAAGATTTCATACCTTCACAGCCACCACTTCCTTATGATAACGATCCATTGTTAACGGAGTATATGGGTGTAGAAATGGAAAACCAAGTTCCGATACTGGACAATCAGTCAGCACGATTAAAACAAGCCACATAATTAAATCGAAATCTAAACTGGAGTCCCGTTTTAAATTTTTTATGGAACTAGCCAGTACATTGACAAAGAACCAGCTTTCATTTCTTGTCATCCTTTAATGAATCACGAAAAAGCTGAGCCTTTTGTATATATAACCACAGCCCACAATATTGCTCGTTGTACACAGGACCATAACATAGTTTTACATGTGCAAAAGGTAAATCAGGCAAAATCTCTTGCCGTATGAATGAATCAGAGTATATAAAACAAACTACAGATTTTATGGTAATACATATTGACAATAAACCGATTGATACTAGCTGTACTTATGGTCAACATGCTGAACAATATTCGGAAGAACTCGCACACGAAACAGAACGTAATATCGCCATCATAGATTTCAATGTTCCTGTCATAAATGCCCTGCGTTGTTACCAAGCTTGGTATATTGTGGAAGTGAATGGATACATACTATTACTCCTCAACCTATGATATAAAATACACGATCCTCTTGAAGATGTGTTGAAAGTTGTAAGTCAGGCATGGGATCACGTACAAAGACACCTCACCCAGCATACTGAAAGCATATCCAATCCTGAAACAAAGGTTTTACTGTAAGGATAATCACTCAATTGAACGGTATGGATTGCATCTCAGCCCAGGAGACTGTTCAATATATAGCTGATAGGAATACAATTATTTATTTCAATATGGATAAAGTTTTATAAGTCTACATATAAATCAGGCTTCATATTCGTTGGAGAAGTTCTGGGAAAATTGAAGGGAAGTTGAGATTGTCTAACTGCCGCGAGAAGTTCGGGGCAATTGATGCAACAATGGAAGACACACGGTACGCGGCGATGGACACATAATACCTCTATCATTGAGTGAGAACTAAAATTTATGTGCCATTGCGTGGAATAAAGCTGGCCCACACTTGTAGTGGTAATATGGGCTGAGTCGGTCTGAGATACTTTGAACATGATACCAAGGAGGGTGAGGTTGTCATCCGTAATTATGTTTCGGAGCGAAGTTGGGGACTGTCCGATACCACAGCACACAACTGCTGTATTTGGAATATCCTGGCTAGCCATATCAGGAAGTATCATAAGTGGTACCGGACGATTTGGTCTGTACCGAAATCTGGAAATAGTATTTCAGTGAAGTGATGAGACGGGGTATAGGGAACATCAATCTATCGACAAATACTGGATGGGGATAAATTGGCGCCTGTTGTTCATGGAGAAGGAAGCTCTCGAGATGTTCGTGGAGAGTCCATATGCCGTGGTAATCATGCCGATCCTGTAGTTGTTGTAGTAAGTCCGATCCGATTAGGGTATATTAGGGTCCACCAGAATACGCCTTATCAGATAACTGATATAGGCAAAGTGGCTGGACTTAAAAGTCTTATCTCCAGGGCACACAGGACAGAGGCATCCACCAGTATGATAGTGAAGTAACTTGAACAGGAACGTGATGGTTGCTATCATAGCACAAAAGCGGATTGGGGTGTGTCCGCGGCAATGGGTAAATCTATCATGGGATGGCTTTTCCCGGTCCGTGGTGGGAAGTTCTCCTCTTATAAGTCGATAGTAGTATTGGCGGCGAGCCTTGCCTGCTATCTCCTTGGCTGTGAGACGTTGTGTGGTATTATGTTGGATCTACTCGCGGAGCTTACGGAGTTCTTTGTGTTGAGGTGTGCACCCGCCCTTTGATCCTAGATAAGCGTAAATACTGAACGGGAATTTGTCCGGAGGTCTGTTACATGTCCAAGCGGGTCTCGTAAGTGGGGCGAGTGGGTTTGCACTGTTGATT